CTGGGTATGCTACTCTGACTGGGTATGCTGCTCTGGCTGGGTATGCTGCTCTGGCTGGGTATGCTACTCTGACTGGGTATGCTCATCTGGCTGAACACCAGCCTTCCACCTCTGCTAATTGATAATTGAACTCACTTTATTGATCTCACATTGGGAAATCTACCTCTGCATTTAACCCCTCCCCTTGGGGAGCAGTGGGTTGCCATTGTGCGGAACCTGGGGAGCAGTGTAGGGTCTTGAGCGGCAGTCTGTGGGAGTGGGGCTTGAACCAGAGCCTAGACCAGAATTTCCCCGTCTCACCCTGCAGGCTGTTCACTTAAAGGGATCCATGTTTTAAAATGCAAATGAAGGTATTTGGTTTGGTTTCCTTAAGAAAGGTTTGGTTGTTCTTTCCTTCTCTGGTGTTAAACACTTCAACTTGTGTAATCTTATATAAATATTTAACTTGCTGACCATTTTTTTAACTGATAATCTAAATATTTAGTTTGGAACTTCAATTTTTATAAATGAATTAATGACAATGAGAATAAATAAGCCCCCTTATTTTTGTCTTAAAACATGCTAAATAACCATAAATATTGCTCCTAATGTTTGACTGTTTAACTTTACAAACAGCCCCCCCTATATATCTACTTTTTAATTTTGTATTTCCCATTAGGTTGAAGGTAATTTGGGCTTTATTAATTGAAAAACTATTCCAAACTGTAATATCCACTCATCATTTTCTTGATGATGGTTATTAACAGATTTAACTGTAACCAGATCTGAGCTTTAATCCTCCTCTCACCTGTTAAACACTCACTGTGTTCACAGGACAACACAGGACAGTCCCAAGGTTATCTGATTAAATATTAGAGAACATAAATGCATTAAAGGGCACAGCACAGATCGATCATCGTTAGATGGAGTAGGGCTATAACAAAATGATTTTATTAATCCATTATTCTATTAATCATTCTTAATACCAATCGAGAACTTGAATAAAAAGAATTCTGTAGATTGTTTACTTTATTAGATCAGCTTATTTCATGAGTAAAATTAGTACATGGAAAGATGCTAATAATGGAGTTATTTTATTGAATAGGAAAATAAAATGATGATGAAAAATAAAATTCTAGCATCACTTTATATTAAAAGCTTGGTCTTTCTGGTTGCTTTAACATTAATGAAGCCTCCTCTGTAGGCTAGGCTAACGTTAGCATCAGCCGCCGACCCAGAGCCCAGTGAGTGATACGAAATGAAGCCTGGAGGCGGATAACTGGCTGGATGAGGAATTTCAGGAATTGCAGTTCTTGAATAACTCAATGAATCCTTAGGGCCCAAATGCAGAGAAAAGAGAGGTTAGTACATCTCAGTCAGTGGCTGCTGGACAATAGGGGGCGCTAGAGTGCCGCCCCACTCATCCAATGACACTGATTAAGGCATAAAGAAAAAAAAAAACTAATAAAAATGTAATAAGAAAATAAAAATATTTCGAAACATGTTAATACATTTTCTGGCTGCACGGTGGGGCAGTGGGCAGTACTGCTGCCTTGCAGCAACAAGGTTCCGGGTTCCATTCCCAGGCCGGGAATGGAAAAAAAAAGAGTCCTTATAAGGAGCTAATCTGGTTCAGTGGTTCTCCAGGGATCAAATAGGGTTCATCTAAAGATGTTTTTAGAACTAATTGGTGACTTTTGGTTTATATCTACAAAGAGTTAGAGATTCTAAGTAGAGTTATACGTTTTTTTTTTGCTGTTTTTTTTTAGCTTGATTTTTGTTGCTTAAATAATGATAAATATGTATAAAACGTATGAAACTGTCCCCATTTCCTGTTTTAATGTTCATGATATGTAATTATTTTCATCTACGAGCTGAAAATGCCCCCAGATTAGATCGCAGAAATTTGGTCACCTTACTTTATGGACAAGAAAAAATCCCCACTGTGCTGAAAAAAGAGGAAAGTGGTTTTAGGAAGGTGGAGATTAAGCTGCTGAACAGAGCAAAGTATTCTTGGGCTTAATAAGTCCCAGTTTTTATACCGTAGTGCTTGCACTCTGAAACGGCTCGTTAGCTACGTCCCCTTTAGCATCTGCTCACTTCTCTGCACCACAGCCTGCAAGAATCTGGAGCGCGCTGCTGGAATCCTCACCTGTGTGTACGGCGAAGGCCTGGATTTGGTCTTGAGCCGCATCGCTCTGCTCTTCAGGGCTTTGCAGTTCTCAGGATGGCTGCTGGTGGCGCTATTGCTGCTGAAGGGGAAGGCGGCCTTGGGCGTAGCCTGATCCAGAGAAAGCTGCAAACCTTTATATTCAGTTTCCCTGAAAAAGAAGCAGAAATGATCCGATCAGCGAGATGAAGACGGATTCCAGCGCCGTCGGCTCTTCGTTAGGGGCCGCAAACAGTTCAGACACCTTAGTGTTTATTTTTCTTTTAAGGTGAAGAAAATCACCACCATCTGTTTGGAAATGAGAGCTTAATCAGGGAGCTTAGCGGAGCAGCATGTGGAGGGCTGTGTCTGAGTGTGAGGATGAGCACGGCTGGCGGGAGGAGCTGGGGTGTGTTAAGAAGGCGGTAACGGCTGTTTGGAAGCTTGTTTTACCAGAAGGATTGCAGGAAGGCCCTTAACAAACACTCCACAGAGGAAAAGCTGTCCTGTCAAACACACGCGGAGATTAAAGGCTGTGTCTGGCTAAACCAGGCCCACAGGAAAATGTTTGGGCATCTCGCTGCTGGGAAATGGGAATTGATTTCTTGCCTGAGTGTTTTCACCATCCAAGATGAATCAGGTTTGAGGCAACAGAAAAAACCTGGAGGTTTACTAGAGACAAATAGTGATCCAAGCTGCATCTTAGTCTCAGTGTCTCTGCACACAAACACTCATTTACAAGCCGAAGCGATTCAGAGATTATCTTCCCCTCGGTTTGAAGAGCGCTGGTATTTACCACATGCTTAATTCAGCAGAGCGCACAAATCCGTTCTGTGCTTTAGCTCCACTGTATTTATGGTTTTATTCTGCAAATGTTTCTGGTTGTTAAGGTTATTATCAACAAAAGGAGAAAATGTCTCAGCAACAACCTGCAGATCATTCCTGGAGTTCAGACAAAAACTAAGCAGGTTCCCAGAATGACAGGATGAACTCTGATTGGTTCTTAGTCCGTTTCAGTTAATTAATTCATTAAAGCTGATCAAACGCTCTGATTTATGCTCAATCATTCGTATTAATCTCCCTGTTTGGTGCATCATCAGATAACTCTCTGTCATGTAGCCATGCCCTCGTCTCTGGATGTTCAGGTTCTCAGTGGCCATGGCCAC